ATCAGGGGTCATCACAGACACATAGAGGGTGAAGGCTGAAGAGGATTCTTCTGCATCAATGGCAGGTTTTGAAGCACAGATGGAAGTGTTTCTATGGAAGAATGGGAGGTAGATTTCCTCCTCTTCTCTTGGTCCTGGTGACTGCTGAAGCACTCACTTGCTCTTGGGTGGGCACTTCTGCTGGCAGGGTGAAGGAGGTTGCACAGGAGGGCATTTCTGCTGGCATGGCTCTGGGCACTGTGGAGGAGGAGGACAAGGCTCGGGGCACTTTGGGGGAGGACAAGGCTCAGGGCACTTTGGGGGAGGACAAGGCTCAGGGCACTTTGTGGGAGGACAAGGCTCAGGGCACTTTGTGGGTGGGCACACAGGAGGAGGCTGGCAGGGCTGCTTGCACTGCTGCTGTTGGTAAGACATCGTGCTGAAGGCTCAGGATCTGAAAAACATTGCACGACCGTGTTAGGAGATGATCCACAAAGAGAGGAGAGACAGAGACATGGGATATCACATCCACTTCTCTGCCCACAAATACGCCTTCTTCCCAACTACTGTTTGTTTTAGGACAGCCTGGCTTTTCCTTGGCTTTCAGAAATCTATGGCACTAGCTTTCGGAAGTAACCTTTGTTTCATGACTTATTCCAGAAAATAAATACTTTATTTTAGCAAAACAAGTAAGGCTCCTTTCACCCAGAAATTCATTTGAGACAGACAGCCTCAAGTTCTGGAACCCTGAGCAGTTTGAGAACACATCCCTGTCTCCCTTGTCACTTGTGACATCCCAGCACATTGTCTGAAGTTGCAGAATAATGGACAGCTCAGGAAAGTCTCAGGTTCTGATACCTGCCAAGGTATAGGGCTCTGAAAAACACACCAAAAGACTCACATGAAAGAGAAAATACTCTGTTCAACCACTGAGCAAATAAAAGGAAAAGCCACCTTTCACAGTGGACCATTGTATCCATTGCTATATTTCTGATTGCTAAGTTGTCGCTGTTCATCCCAGAAATACAACTGGACTCATCACACTTAGTCCTTCAAAACTGACTGGAGCACATAAGCAGACCATAAAGACAGACCAACCCAAGAAACACTCACCAGGTTCTCCAAACTCAGAGTCCAGGAGTCTGCAGTCACACAGTCAAGGGCCTCTTTATAGGACTGGCTACCCCGCCTAGAGGGAGAAGGGCTGTGATTGAAGGCAGGTCCAAGAATTTCCCAACCAAAATGCAAATCCACGTATGACTGTCTGACTGGGACTCTACAAATAGGAAATATCCTGTTCCTGGACACCAAGCCTGTGAAGTCCTGTGACTCAGTGGGCCTCCTGTCTGCTGTTGTCATGCTGAAATTTCAGGATCTGAAAGACACTTTGTGACATTTGTCACAAGAGGTGACTCCCCACAAAGAAAGAAACTTAAGTTTATGAAATATCACAACTCTTCCTCAATCCCTATTCTTCCTCCAGACTTCCTGAATTTCCTGAATTTTTGTTTCATTAGCCTAGAAAAGCAACATTTTTCTTCACATTTTCTGTAAGAAAACATCTTTTTCCCAAAGGACAGAATACTGATACTTGTAGAAAACATTATCTTCAAGAAGGCAGTGTGAAGTTTAAGTTGTCTCAGTAATGACAGTAACCTCTGTCATTGCTATCATTTGTGATGTTCCAGGAATTTGGCCAGATTATAAAACAACACCTAGATAAATTCATGACTCTAGAACCTCCTAAAAAGAAGACCAAAGGAGTTCAGAAAAAAGAAAAGTATTCTCTTTGGTCCTGGAAAGCTGAGTTGTAGTTGGAGGAGAAAGAATAGAATGAGGAACATGAAGCAAAGCCATTAACGAGTCCCAGCTGTGCTCTGGGAAGCACACGGGCACTGAATCCACCTGGGTGGAACATGTCAGCTTCCTGTGACTTACATTGCTTTTGACAGTAAGGAAGGATTCGGCTGAGAATGCCATTGTCCATGTCCCTGAAGGGGAAGAGTCATCAATTCTACACCTGAGGCCAGGAGTCAAGACTCACACCACCAGTGGATGGCTCATAAAGGTTAGTGCACAGCCCATAGGGTTAGGTCAGTAGGAGACTCACTGCTCTCCAAGTTTTCATATCACACCTAAGAATGATCTCAGGGAAACTCTGTGATCAGCATACAAGGTAGGAATAGGCTCATGGGTTTTTTTTTGTTTTGTTTTGTTTTGTTTTTGTTTTGTTTTGTTTTGTTTTTTGTTTGTTTGGTTTTTTGTTTTTTGCCGCCACAGTGAACAAGGGTGTGTATATGGTAGAACTAGCACCATCTTCTGTGCCTTGCTACTTACAAAATAAGGTAAAATATCCAGGATTCTCTCCATTGATTTTGACAACAGCTGAACCAGTTTTCATTCAACATAAAAGAACATCTGCAACCTTTCCCTTCAACTTTACTAGCCTGGAATATCATTTCTTTTATTGATCTTGGTCATTCTGACTGAAGTAAGTCAAAAATCTCTAAATAGTATACTTTTTTATTTCCCTGATAGCTGAGGATGTAGAACACTTTTAAGTGTTTCTCAGCCATTTGTCTTTCATTTTTTTTAAACATGCTTTTTAGTTTTTAGTTTCAAAACAATCTTTTTTTAAAAAAATAGACTCTTTGTTTCCTTCTCAACTAAAAAAATATGCCTATGAAGGTACAAGAAGCTTACATAACACAAAGCAAACTAGAACCAAAAAACTGTCCCCTCACCACATAAGAATCATAATACAAAATATACAGAATGCAGAAACAATATTAAGAACTGCAAAGGAAAAAGCCAAAAACATATAAAGTCACACCTATTAGAATTATGTCTATCATCTCGGTGGAAACAATGAAAGCCAGAAAGTCCTAGTCAAGAGTTATGCAGACTTTAAGAGACCACTGATAATACACCCAGCAGAACTTTCAATTGTCATAGACAGAGAAAACAAGAACTTTCATGACAGAACCAGATTTAAACAATACCTAAGCACAAATCCAGCCCTACACAAAGTACTTAAAAGGAAACTCCAACCCACAGAAGTGAGCCACACCCACAAAAATACAGACAATAGATAATCTCACAGCTACAAACTCCAAAGAAGGGAAAAGCACACACAAGAACATCACCTACAACGAAAACTAAGATGACAGGAACTAGCAATCACTGGTCATTATTATCCCTTTATATAAGTGGACTCAACTCTCCTATAAAAAGATACAGGCTTAGAAATTAAATACAAAAACAGAATCCATCATTCTGCATACAAGAAACACACCTCAATCTTAAAGACAGATATCACATCGGAGTAAAGGGTTGGTAAAAATTTTTCAATCAAATGTACCAAAGAAACAAGCTGAGGTAGCTATCTATTACAAAATAGACTTCAAACTAAGATCAATGAAAAGAGACAAAGAAGAACATTTCATATTTGTCAGAAAGAGAAAGGCATCAAGAGGAAATCTCAAGGCTGAACACCTATGTCCCTAATACAAAGGCACCCTCATGTGTAAAAGAAACATTACTAAAGCTTAAATCACACATTAAGCCCCATACACTAAGAGTGAGATACTTCAACATCCCACTCTCACTGGAAAAATCTGAAAGACCAGAGAAATAAGGGAATAACAGATATTATTATTCAAATGGACTTAACAAACATCTATAGAACATTCCATCCAAACATAAAAGAATATACATTCTTCTCAGCACTCCCATGGAACCTTCTCAAAAACTCAGTAACAAAGCAAACCTCAACAGATACAAAATATTAGAATAACCCCATGTATCTTATCAGATCACAGGGCTTAAAATTAGAATTCAATAGCAACGCTCATTTCAGGAAGCCAACAAACACATGGAAATTGAATAATGCTTATCTGAATCACCAATGGATTAAGGAAGAAAATAAAGACTTCCTAAGATTCAATGAAAATGACCACACAACTTATGGGATCCAATGAAAGCAGTGTAAAGAGGAAAGTTCATAGCCTACATAAATGCCTACATAAAGAAACTGGAAAAGAATCCCACACTTGTGAGTAAACAGAATGCCTAAAACCTCTAGAACAAAAAAAAAAAAAAAAAAAAAAAAAAAAAAAAAAAAAAAAAAAAAAAAAAAANCCTCTCCAATGAGGACTAGAAGGCAGGAAATAATCAAACTGAGAGCTGAAATCAATAAAATAGAAAGAAAGAACAAATGAGACAAAGAGTTGGTTCTTTGAGAAAATCAACAAAACAGAAAAATCCTTATTAAACACTAACCAAAAGGCAGAGAGAGAATATCCAAATTAACAAAATCAGAAATGAAAGGGAGACACAACAACAGACATGGAGGAAATCCAGAGAATCATCAGGTCATAATTCAAAAGCCTTTACTTTACAAAATTGGAAAACTTAAAAGAAATGGACAATTTTCTGGATAAACATCACTTGCCAAATTTAAATCAAGACCAGATAAACAAATAAATAGATCTATAACTGCTAAGGAAATAGATGCAGTCATCAAAAGTCTCCCAAACAAGAAAGACTGGGACCTGATGGTTTCAGTGCACAATTCTACAAGATTTTCAAAGAACTAATATCAATACTCCTCAAACTGTTCCATACAATAGAAACAGAAGGAACATTGCCAAATTCTTTTTACAAGATGGCAATTACCCTGATAGAAAAACCACACAACACCATTAAAACATTCAAAATGTAACAAAATATATTTCAGCGTGATAACAATTTCATTTTTCAGGATATTCTTAAAGGATAGAACATATACACAGCTGCAAATGTATGTACTTTGTGCTGGCTCACAAAATTTAGTTTTGTTTTCTAGTTTCTGTCCTAAATACTCTCCATGTAAATGTCTATCAATATTTGACTAACTTATACACTAATACACATTATGTACAGCTCTTTGGCCATTTAAAAATGTAACTGTTTAATTTTTAATAAAAAATACCAGAATGAAAAGTTAACTTCCATAGTCAGAAAGAAAAAACAAATTCTGTGTAATTTCACTCATATTTTGATACTAGGAAGTTGACATCACAAGGATAGATACGAAAATGTCGGTTTCCATGGGATTATAGTGGGTAAGAGACAGATATGGAAAGTCTTCTGAGAGGGTACTAAGCTATATTTGAATGCAAAAATAAGTTCATTTTACATTTTAAAAACTTTACAAGACAAATTTTAAGTATTCTCACCATAAAATATTGAAATTGTTTTAGGTGAGAAATGTAATGACCTTGATTTAAATGTTCAGTAATGTTTGCATGCATCATAGTACTCCTCATTATATACAATATAAAATTTTACTCATAAATTGAAAGGATTTCTTCAATTAAAAAGTTTCAGATGTCTATTTTGATATTTTTAAAAAGACCTTTAAACACAGTGATATAAACACACAGAAGTAAAAGAGTGAAAAAAAAAAAAAAAACGATACTCCAAACAAGTGGAATCAGAAGGTATCCTGGCGTAGGTGAACCAACATCTGCAACAGAAACACAGAGGATCTAAGTAGTCAGTCCTAGTAACTAAAGGAAACAACTCACTGAGAAGTCACAGCTGCAAATACATGTTCTGAGTATTGGTTCACAAAATTTCATTAAATAAACCTTGATAGATATGAGGAAAGAGATTGAACCATGTAAAAGAATAAGTCTCTTGGATATCCACTGTCACCCATAGATAACTGTCCAGACCAAAACACAAAAGGAGCAACAACAAAAACTTCAGAATTCAACAGATCTCATTTATGTAACAAACATCTACAGAATTAGCTATACACCAACTTCAAAATGCACGGTCTTATCAGGAACCCATATAATTTCCCCAAAATACACTTTAGGACACAGAACATAACTTAACAAGCATAAAAGTTAATATTTTCTCTGTTTTATCATTCCATAATGGAAAAAGAAACAGAAACCAACAGAAGAGGAAAACTTTAAAATTATACAAACATATGGGGATTGAACAATACACTTTTAAATGATTAAAGATCAAAACATGGGATAAAACTTTAAGTTCCTAGAATTGAACCTACAATAACATATGAGATGATTATTGCTAGATATGCCTTTTACATACATCGAGGGATTGATATCTAAAATACACAGAACAGCAAAAACAACAGTAACAACAACA